AGTACTTGGATCAATTCACATATCTTTCTCAATGCCTCAAGTTAATTGAATTTCTTGCTATGTTAATAAAAAAATTTAAAAAAATAAAAATGAAAAGAAACCCCATATGTGGACGACATACTAAATCCCTATAAATGCCAAAGCCCTCAAGCTCTTTGCAACACAAAACAAAAGCCTTCACATATAGCCCTTCTCATATATAGTAGAACAATGTCAACTCAACCCTTGGCCCTTCCCTCTTCCCCTCCAAATACAACCTGCAAAACTATCCGTCGACCCACATCCAGTTATCACCCCAGTCTTTGGAAGGATTATTTTCTCCAACATTCTTCAAATTCCATGGTATTTCATTCTCCTCTACTTACTTTCTATATTCGATTATTATTTCATAATTACGTTTTGCATTTTGAGTTTTCATTGCATCCCACCTAATTTAGCTTCAAAAGTTGAGTGTCTATGTTATGCCTCTAATCGTACATGTTTATTATCGAATAAGATACTGATTGATACATATTTTTGTTTAATATATTGTACAATACATTTATTAAAAAATCACTATTTTTTTATTTAAAATTAAAAACAAATAATTTTAAAGATGTAACAATGCATACTGGATAAAAGAATTAGTTGAATTAATTGTACTTTTATTATATTTTAATAACTAATCAAGATAGGTGTTAGAAGTGTATTGAACCGAATGTCTACCTATTTTTTTCCTATCTAATGAAACATCTTGGTCCTAATATATGAATTATTAGGCCACCAATATAGTTACCCTAATCACTATTGTTTCTTGGAGGAATTAATTTTTAGGTTGTAGCACAAATTAAATTGATTACTAGTACACATTTAATGTTTTGTTTTGGAATGATTTTTTAGAAAAATGAACCCACAACAGAAGGAGAATATGATGAACTGAAGCAACAAGTAAGGAGAATGCTAACTGATGCTACCACCATTGACCTTTCAAAGAAATTGCATTTAATTGATATGGTTCAACACCTAGGCATTGCTTACCATTTTGAGATAGAAATTGAAAATGCCTTAGAGAAGATAAATCTTGGTGATGCTAATTATTTTGAATCTAACCTTTATACGATTGCTCTTGGGTTTCGATTGCTTAGACAACAAGGAATCAAAGTTTCATCTGGTTAGTCATTTTTTCTTAACTTACAAAAACTATTTTAAGGTCTAATAACAAGTTGTGTTTATGAATTATGATCGAGGTTAATTTTTAGTAGTTGCACTCTTGGTGTTCTTATTATTTATTAATGCAGAAATATTCAAGAAATTCATGGATGAGAAGGGAAAATTCAAGGAAGATGTAATAAATGATGTGCTTGGAATGTTGAATCTATATGAGGCTGCACATCTTCGTCTTCATGGAGAAGATATCCTAGATGAAGCTTTAGCTTTCACTACCTCTCACCTTGAATCAATGGCAACAAAAGTAAGCCCTCTACTTGCTGAACAAATAGCCCATGCCCTAAACCGCCCCATCCAAAAAGGCTTACCAAGAATTGAAGCAAGGCATTACATCTCTCTATACTCTAGAGAAACACATTTTGCTTCCTCTAATGCAGCACTAGTTAGATTTGCAAAGATAGATTTCAATATGGTACAAGCATTGCATCAAAAAGAAATAAGTGGAATTACAGAGTAAGTTTGATTTTTTTTTTCCTTCTTTAGAAAACTTCTAATGATGCTGATTTATTATCTAAGATTTTGAATTTGGCTTGGTTTTTAGGTGGTGGAAAAACTTGGATTTTTCAACAAAGCTACCATATGCAAGGGATAGAGTTGTGGAGTGCTATTTTTGGATAATGGGAGCTTACTTTGAACCCAAATACTCCCTTGCAAGGACATTTCTAACTAAAGTAATAAGCATGACATCTATCTTGGATGATACATATGACAACTATGGGACCAATGAAGAACTTGAGCTCTTGACCAAGTGTGTTGAAAGGTTAAATTTTTACCTTTAAACTTGATTTTTTTTTGTCAATTTATTGAAATATATTCATATATTTCAAAATTAATATTCATAACTTTGATCCTATAATCTTTAGGTGGGACATTGATGTTATAGATCAACTTCCAGA